CCCACGCCCACTCCCAATCCCAGGCCGGGCAAAGTTAAGTGGCTGAGGGCAAATGGCAGCCGGTTATTGTTGTCCGAGCGCAGAGTACTCGGAGGCGGCGGAGTGGCCCGACTCTTGGCCTTCAGCTCCTCCGGAGTGGGTTCCTGGCGCTTGATTTCCAAGGATCGGTGATCGCCGCGGCGGAAGGAGCGCCGCAAGCGCTCTGCGAACTTGGACTGCTTGGGCGGCTTGTCCTTGGGCGGTTTGTCCTTGGACCTGCCCAGCAGATTGGTCCTCTCAGTCTTGTCTTCCTTCTCCAGGAGTTTCTCGTGCATATCCGTCGCCGGAATGGGTATCTCGACCTGGTCCAAGGCCACTGGTCGCTGGTTGCTGGCTAGAGTAATCGGTGGCGCCGCAAAGCCACCACCCATTACGGCCGCCCTTCGCCGTGGTGGTTGATCCCGCTCCGATTCGGTGGTTTACCCCGATGGGTGGTCTTTAAGTTTAAGTTTAGCTGGTCCGTGGTTTGCTATTCACTAATTCGTTAATTTATGAAGCGTTGATTTCCCCAAGATACACATCGAGCTGTGTTTCCTTCTTAGTTTGACTAACACTAGGTGCGTTTAAAGCGATTTCGTAATAGTATTGCTTATTCTATTATTTTAGCTTTTGTTGGCTTGCTGAAATTGAAGAAAAGGATCGGAAATTGGTTAGTTCTGTTAAATTTTGTCTCTCGAGGAGCGTGTGCACAGGAAACTCTACTCTTTGCCATGTTGGTTTGCCAATTGGTTAGCATTTTAAATATTTTCAAGTCCAAGCCCTTTGAAAAGCAGCCCTAAAATGCGTAATGCAAATGAGCACTTGCAGAGCAAATCAATTTAGGATAATCCATTCATTCATAATCCTCAAGCGTTATTGCCATTTTTCGCCCTTCGATTTGTGTATGCAACCTTTAAAGTTTTCGGTTGTTATGGAAATTGGGAAAACGTGTTAGCATTTCAAATGAGACGGCGAGCTTGCCCCCGGGGTTTTTCACATCATTTTCCGAGTCCTGGATGCGGATGCTGATGCGGATGCGGATGCGAATGCGGACGAAAAGCGATTGGCAATCGATGGAAAATACGAAAAGTTTAATCAATGTGCATATTTTGCTGTCAACCGATTGGCAAAACTGAATTAATCAGCCCGCATCGAAACCAATTTGGCGAGTCAAAGCTCAATGCTGATGCAGTTTCATTGGAATACTTAATTAATGTGGTAAGAAGTCCTAAGCCTAAGCCACTCAGAAAATGTATAAATCGGTGCCTATTAAAAATATAAATATTACATATTTACAAACGCATGTTTCCGATTGGGGTTCGCTTTCGATTTGCCTTTAATTTCAGCCAGTTTATGGATGTTTCTGCTGCTCAGTCACGTTCTGAACTCTGGCCATAATCGTACATTTCTATTCGCAACATAACTTTAAGATTTGTTCCTTTGAGTAGGAAGACCTTTTGGCAAAACAGCGATAAACAATTCCTGGGCCCATATTACTGATTTGCCTTTTTTTCTATTTTTTGGTTGCAGGGGGAAGAACGGGAAGGGGGAACTCATAAAACGGGCCAGAAACTTTATTGTTATTAATATTATTTGCACAGAAATATAACAGTAAATAAACACACAAAGTGCGTTTGTGGAGGGAGTCGCAGCTCGAGAGTTGACAGCCAAGTTGCCCCTGGCTGTTGCAAATAAATCATTGCACACGCCTGGACGCCCCTCAAGCACGCAACGCACACGATGCCCCCAAATCCTGGGCCCTCCAAGTGGGCTTAGCCATCCATCCATGTACCTACGAGTATATGGAGTAACTCGGCCTGCCAGCGGATAGAGCCGACCGGTGTTTGCCTGTGTTTAGGCCAAAATAATGTATAATTAAGCTGGGCCAGGAGTTCGCCCAACCATCTTTCATGCCACACACACATCGGGGGTGCTGACAGCTCGAGGGGGCGAAGGGGATGGGCAGGGATTAGGGGGGCATATGGCAAGTTATTTTCAATTAAGTGTTCTTAACACGTTGCCTAATCGACAGACATGTCCCCCGGGTCCTGGGAATAACGCCTCCTAATCACATTACTGCAAAACCAAAGGATGCGCACAAAAGGTCGAGCAAAAACAGTGACACGATGTGATTCCATGGAGATTGGGTCTGGGAATGCGCCATTGGAAGTGGCCTGGCTTAAAGCGGCTTAATCTGTGAACGCAGTTTTAAAATTTCACATAAGAAAAGTCATTTGAGAATAGTTATTCTAATGCTTTTCATAAGAACCATAAAATAATATAAACTATTATTAGAATGTGCTGTAAAAATGCATAGGCAAAAACCCTTTGCCAGCAAAAAGAATCAGTATTAGAATTTTAAATATTGCTCACCCCTTCTAAATGGTCTATATCTGTACCTCGGGGTGATAACTCCCAGCCTTTGGTAATGGAAAAGGAATAAACCAACCCTGCATAATTGCCGCCACCTCTTGAACCAATTTAAATATTCCGCCAGGACGAGGACGACGATTCCCTGGAGTGGATTCAAAAAACACAACCTTGTATCACGGCAGGCAAATCGCAGAACGTTTAAAGATAAGCGAGCATGTTGCCCGCCTCTCATTAAATTAAATTAAATGTGTGTCTGCGATAAAATTTTATATTCAAGACCCCACTCCGGGAGGCGGGATGGAGGGGTGGTAACGGGTGGAAATGGGTGGAAATGGGTGGGAAGGGGGGTTTTCAGGTCGCTAGTGGGTTCGAGGCGACTTTCAACTTCAGTGCAGCAACAAAATCCGCCCGCCACCACGTCAGAAACAACAACTAGCCACGAAGCCCCGTCATTTCCGCTGCCTGTCAGAGCAGCAACAATTTAATTTTTATTGTTATGATGTCATCAGCATAAGAACCAGGCCCGTGCCATTTGCAGTACCCCAGAATCCGTGAGTGCCAGGCCGAAGGAACCAGTAACCAGAGCCCAGCAGAACTCGGAACTCAGACCCCAGATCCCAGACATCCATATCCGCAGAAAGCTTCGCCCCGGACGACGTGAACCACATACAAATTGGCGTGGCAGTGTGATGGAGTCCGAGCGGCCGCTAAAATAACACAACCACTATCCCCAGGACACCGGAGGAGCAGCGTTTCACTCCAAGAGCGATTTATGCGCGAAGTGTACCCTTGGGCCACGCCACGCTGACCAGTCACCGATGAAGTTCCAATTGGCCTGGTTCAGCACCTCAAGTACAGGACAGCTTCTATAAACTAACAAATATATGCCGCATTAAAATGTAATAGTTGCATATATATATGGAAGATATTTTAGTAGATTTCCAACCAAGATAGGTTTTCCAGATCGAATCTAAATTGTGTGTAGGGCTATTCAAAAATTATGCTTTACCGAAAAATGAAATTAATATATTCCAGTTAAATAATAACAAAATTAAATCACAACGAAATTTCCTAAAAATAGCCCAAGGACTACAAAAGTAATGTTCAAGCCACGGAATAAAGACTGTATTCAGACAACCGCAGCGAAGAGCTGGAATGGGAATTATGCCCCTAGCCCAAGGAGCACATTACGATATTACGATGCCTGCTTTTATGTGGCTGTGGTAATGTAACATTTTGCTGAGCAATCAAAAGGCGCATCAAAGTTTGCGAGTTCCACGGGGGGATTGGGTGGGCATGGCGGAGGAGGACAAGGAGGGGATGAACCGCATCCGACTACCGAGCCCACCTGGCCAACTTGCAGCCGGAGTTTGATCGATAAACCAAGCCGGAGCCGCACTCAAACCCAAACCCAAAGCCAAACCCGAAACCAAACTCAAACTCAAACCAAATCCTGGCCAGCCAGAGCGAATCGAGGTGCCTCAAACTGAGGCAGTTGAATCCGGCTGAATCGAGAGGCCCGTGTCAGTGGCAAAGTTGAATCTTGGATGCCGGCGACACATTGGGCCCAAATTGATTTTTGAAGTTATCAGAGGCCAGCCAGTGATTTATGCAAAGAGGATAGCGCAACTTTTGCCTTGGGTTTCGTCCTAACAAACCGGGTCAGAGTGCAAAGTGCAAAATCGAAACAAAAACACAACTCAAAGCCACGCAAAAGTGAAACAATGCCCATCCATCATTCCGCTATCAAGGGATTCAGCACTCATCAACGGCGAAAAATAAAAAATAAAATCAACTTCCCTCTTAAATACATGTTTTTAAGTCTTAATAGTTTTACCAAAGCGTTTAAATATTTTCGCAATAATTTAAAAACATTTTATCTGCGTGTATGAGAACTTTTTAACTGAAGGAATTGCAGTTATACTTTAATGACTAATTAGTTGTATCCCCTTAGTTTTTAATGCGAAAAAGCTTTTTCAACAAGAAATTAAAAATGTAAACTAGGAAGCATTGGCATTTTTCTCGCAGTGCACCCACTCCTCGACTATTGTCAGCGGCACTTACTCACCTGGGTTGGTTCATTAATGGGACCTCTTCGATTCTGATTCTGATTCAGATTCCGATTCTGATTCCGATTTTGATGCCGATTTTGTTCCTTCTTTTCCGAGTCCTCTTCCTTTTGTTGAGTCTTTGTTCCTGTTGTTTCTTCTGGCCCCCGCCGCACATTTATTTTAGCAATTTGTTTGCCTCTCGGTTGGTTTGTTTATCTGCCTGTTTGTTTGTTTGTTTCTTTCTCTGCAGTTGCTTGTTTGTTTCCTGCTCGGTTGGTTAGCTCAGCCCACACACCTGAACACTCGCGTAAAGTACTTGAGCACAGTATCCGTATTCGTATCTCTGTCCCTAAACCTATCCCTATCCGTATCCCTATTCCTATTCCAATTCCTAACCGTATCTGTATCTGTATCTGTATCCGTTGCTGTAGCTGTGTCCGCATCCGCGTTTGTTTCTGCACCTGACGAGGAGAAGGAGCCCGCACTCCTCTCCAGCACGGCAACCCAGGTGGCTCCTGCCACAAGGAGCAAGGTGCTCGGGTCGAGTACGTAAATGAGTTTATTGCCGGCAATAAGCGAACTTAATGCGCCTGCACGAGAGGCATCGTTGCAATATATCATCTGGATTCGAGTCGTTACCTTGAAAAAGACAGAGTACAGACAAGAGGTTAGTGATGAGTCGTTACTTCTATATATAGCTTGAAAAGTTTGCTCAACGTGTCATATTTCATATGGTTGAATCGAACCCTGTAACTCCAACAAAAATAAAAACTTTCGCTGGTTGTTCGGTTCAAATATGAGTTGATAAATAGTTGTTTATTGAGCCAACCAATTGCTTTTCTTACTGAGCGTTTGGGGGTTGTAAAAGTTTTCCCCGAGTCCTTTCAATTTTTAATATGGTTTCCATGAAATTCAAATTAAACAAGTAAAACCCAAACCAATTTAACCTTAGTAAAGCAAAGCCGTATTCAATTAGTATGATTTCACAAAAAACCTTACAATCATTTTTAATTACTATGATTTTACTTGTTATAAAACAGGTTTACAGGTCCAACTAATTTAAACTACAGAAAGGTAAAAGGTATATTCCGAACCTGTGTTCAGTTTGAGTCCAGAGCAACATATCGTGTTCTTTTGAGTAACAATAAAGTCAACAAGAGCAATCACAAAGAATTGGAGAAACCACACCACAATTACTGGCTACTTGGCTTTGCGTGTATTCCGTAGATACAGATTACTCATTTCACGGACAAGGTAAAAGTAGGAACGCAATTCAGGACAGCTGCCGCCGCAATTTTTATAAAATCCAAAGGAGCTGGGAAGGATAACAAAGCTTTTAGGTTCAGAAACCAAGCTCAGCAAAATTACAATTTTCTGCAGAAAACAACAGCAGGGAACTAAATATTACAAGTTAATATTACAAGTTAAAGGGACTAAGTCAAATATTAAATATCATAAAGTTTTAAAAATTATGTATACCTATAACTGTATGATGCAAACATTGCACTATCATTAGCATCCTTTAAATTGGGTGGACTTTGTTGCATTGTAGTTTAAATATATTATGAATACACTCCCCGTGGAAATACTTCTTATATAATTATTTAAATATAATATATGTAAATTAGACTGATTAGTGGTCATGTAAATGAGAATCCTGGTGTAATTATGCCCCAAAAGACCTTTCGCTCCCTCTGTTTACATGCATTACTCGTACATTACTATGGGGATATTCCTATTAGCCAGGTGCTAAAGTTTAGCGTACGACAACTGGAAAGGCTAGCTCACATGGATAAGCTTCCGTGGATCATGGACCAGCATATTTTGTACAACTGCCAAACAACACATCCCATGCGCCAAACAAAAATTCAATTTCAATTCAATTAATCACGCTTGATTACTACCAATAATGGCCATCGCCAGCAGGCGGAGCAACAGCATCACGGGAACCATCAACGGCCAGATATTCAGACATCCAGATGGCAGGACTCTGACAGGAGCTAGTCTCTCTCAAGCCACAAGTCCTCGATTCCCCAGTGCAAATACACAGACATTCTGCCTTTGTCCTTGGCTTGCAACCGCTTCCGAAGTTGCTTTTTGTTTACCACTTTGCACATTCTGCTGTCAAATTTGTTGATTTATAGTTCCCGATGTGCCTTAAACAATAGCGGTGTGGGCGTGGCAGCCAGAAGGGCGGAAGGCCTCTGATGACAGGCGGTCGCCAAGCAAAAAGCTCAGGGCATACAGCAAAAATCTGGCACAGACCGAATCAGTCGAATGATTCGAATGCAGTATACCTGGTTTTTAAAAGCGCAAGGATAAACTAAAACTTTAAAGCCATGAAAATATGAAAATATTTATAGACATGAGCCCGAGTGGAAAACAAAATACACTAATTATTTAACTTTTTTTAGAAAGTATCTTCGTTCTAGGTAAATTTACATTTATGTTAAACTCCTTTTCAAAGCTCATCACATTCTTTACAGAATTTTCATTTGTTTTTAATGGTTCTTGACAATTATTTTGTTATCCAGTGGCATAAAGCTGTATATGTTCCTCGTAGCTCGAATGAAGAATTTGGGAAATCAAACCATTGAAAGCCAAATCCAAGCCTCGCGATAAAGTCAAACTACAAAGAAAAAAGTCGGCCAACAATTTCAATGACAATGCGGCAGTTTGTTGCCAGTTTGCCAGCCAGTTGCCCATTTTTCTCTGGTTTGGTGCAGTTTTCCGGACCGTTTTTCTCTGCTTTTCCAGGGCCCCTGGGCCCCACACGTCGAATGCGAATTGTTTTTGGGCAGAATGCGATTAGGCACCTGAAATAGTTTGCGGTCTCCTCCGACAAAGGCTGTGTCGTCTGGGCCCCTGTCGATAAATCCAGTCGAGTGCACACCAGCGACGGAAGGGGGGGCCCATCGCCAAAGAGCAGAGATTGGATCCACCCGGCGGCATACTAATGTCCGAGGGTGCCGAACAGGACCAGAGTCCAGGACTCCAGGACTCCAGGACGCCAGGCCTCCAGGACTTCAGGACCCGCATCCGCAGACGACCGCAAACAAACGCCGCTCATTTGCAGGCATTTCGCATCGACTTCTCTGGTTTTCCAGTCGGAAGTCATGGCGATGTGCGGATGTGTTTGATGAGGCCGGAGATAATCGTTTGGCAATTGAATGAGTCCCACATGTCGGCATTTTCGATTTTGGATTTTGATTTCGGACGGGCGCCGACTGGAAATTTGGTCCAAGTTCATTTGACTATGACAACCCAGCAAACATCATTTTACTAGCTGAAGAGGTCTGTCAACTTAGGTTGAGATAGGAAATGATTGGTTTCAAATTTGTTGGCTTTGTTTACATAACTTAATGAACGAACCTTTAAGCGCCGATATCTAATAAATATCTTTATTTCCAACAAATCACAAAAGTTTACTTTCTTTCACAAAATATATAATTAATACATGAAATGTATGCTATGCTTACTCCCCGTTATCAACGCTGTCGAATATTAACAAAAGAGAACGTTGTAGTCGAGTTTCTCGACTATAAGATACCCGTTACTCAATTACTGGGAGAAAGTTCAACAATCTTTTGATAAAAGATAAATAAATAAAAAAAAAATTCAAAGTGTGGGCGTTGGAGTTTTGGACGGCTTGTGGGCGTTGAATTGTGCGTGGAAAATACAAATATTAAATGACAAAATTTCAAAACAATTTTCAAAAACTTGACCTGCACGTCTAGTCTCAACTTTCCAGCTATAATAGTTCCTGAGATCTCGACGTTCATACGATTATCAACATAGGAAATGCTTCCTTTTACCTGTTACATACTTTTCAACGAATCCAGTATACCCTTCACTCTATGAGTAACGCGTATAAAAATATTTACGTATTTAAAAACATATTTTAGATTGATTAAATTTATGTTTTGCAAACTAATGTTTGGCAAACCAAACCAAAGTAATTCTCGTAAAATGTGTTCCCATTTGGCAAATGTAATGGCACAAAATTAAGCAATTTACAAGCCTTTCAATAAGAGTTTCACATTTGGGTGATGTAAAAGTTAGGTTGCATAAAATTGTGTGCTGTGTTTTTTGTGGTTTTTAAAAGCCAGATCAAAAAAGTCAGTATTAAATACGTTCTGTAAAAAGTTGTCCGCCTTAAATGTGCCAGTCGGTATGAGTTCATGTTTGATTGGGTGAGAAGTCTTTTGGGAAATACTACATATCCGGCACAATGTGGCCACAACGGGGCCACTCAGAAGTGCTCAAATTTGCAAATTGAATGGACCCACTTTCGAGCGGCTTTAACCCCATTGCAAGGGCCATTATTGAAAACACACGGACACACGGCGGTGGAGAACGTTGACCAGAATGGAACGCGGATTGTGGAGAGGTCCGGGGTTGTCCATAAATAACGGCAAAACAGTCAGATAAATTTGCAGGAGCTATAAACAAGCTACTCCGGCGGACTCCCCAATGCCGCCGCTCCCGTCGAAATCGATTTAAATGCTCCGTTTGCGTGTTCTGTGTTCTGAGTCCGCCGGTTACCTTGAAGCCTTTATGTAATTTGTACACAGACATAAATAAGATGGCATATTCAACTGAAATGTCTCGTACTCGATTTGATCGAGTTTATAGTTTCTAGTACATTAGGTTGCATTCCTCATCAAATCGAGTTGGATATCTATGGGTTCTCTGAGCACAAGGAGCAGGCGGAGGTAGCCCATCATTTTTGTGAAGTAGCACTCTGTGGACGCCGATAAAAGAGTTATTTCTTTAAGTGCACTGCAGACCCTCGGTCGCATTGTGTCCCGGTTAGACCCGCCACCATTAGGCGAATTTCCATGCTAAATAGCCAGACACGTGGCATCTGCCGCTCTCGACATCCGCGCTCGCTTTCGCCGCGTGCACCATTTTGATTGGCGTTTGATAAGCGGCAAGGACGGCCGGAGTCCTGCGCCCGTGTCCTGGACAGCGGGAAGGAGGAGCTTTAGATAAGGACGGCAACCGCGACGGTTTCGATTGTTCCGCCAGCTCCACGCCAACCAGGATGCGGATTGTTCCGTGTGGGATGCATTGCTTTCGAGCAAACAGATTTTACGGGCACGCAAGGACAATTACGAACTCACAGAGAACAAATTTATAAGGATCGATGACGAACAGGGGAATGCTTATTTTCAAATATTTGCTGTGTTAATTTTTTTGTTTCCCTGGTCATTACAGTTTTGCCACACACAGTAGATGCTGTTTATCTTTTTGGGTTCTGCTAGGCAATTACAAAACGAATTGATTGCATAGCTTAATGAACGACGATTTATTGCTCCAAATTGCTATGATTTAAGGAATTAGTTAAGCACCTGAAATATGCTTAGCAAACGTGAGACAGCCCAATTTTCCATCCTTAAAGGCTCTGTGGAAACCAATTTCCAGAACAGAAACGTGTCCTGCCCAGCCAGCTGTGCACATTTGGGGTAATCATAATAAAACTGCAATCTACTCAATTTATTAACACAAACAGAGTAGAAAGTCTCATTTCAGTGGAGAATTAGTTAAGTCGAACATTAGTTAGCAGTGGTACATACACATAATTAAAAATGTTTTTTTAAAGATGTATTTAATAGTGTAAAGTTGCAATATCTTGA